TGAAATGTTTCATCGTAAGAAGTTATTAACTGTTGTTTAAAACTAATCGTTCAAATCTGTCCCGAATAGCCCCGGTTGACGGTACAACTTTATAGTTGAATCTCAACATTGCAGCAAATTGAACGCACAGTTTCAAGCATTTTCAACTTCTGATCAACTGGACACTTTTTGGCATGCCTTTCTGTCATCGAGCACCTACAAGAAGCTCTGGAATGTGCAGATGCTCATCCACCTGTCTCATGGCCAAGCCTTGGTTGAAAGAGGGTTTTTGTTCAACAAGGAAATCATGACATGCTACATGAGAGAGCGAATGGTGGCTGCCCTGTGTGCTGTGGTTGATCATGTTGCACATGTTGGTGGCCTGGACAAGATGACCATCACCAAGAAGATGCTGCTTGCAGCTGGCAGTGCCAAAAAGCCTACAATAATTATTTGGTAGAAGAGAAAGAGCAGAAGGCAAAGGCCCAGAAAACCCAGAAGAGGAAGGCTTTGTTGGATGAGCTAGATGAACTGAAGAAGGAAAAAAAGGCGTATGGAGGAGGGCATCAAGGCGCTTGAGCAAGCAGCAGATGAATATGCAGAAGCAATGTAGAGAAATTTGGGATTTGAAAATTATCGCAAAGTTCAACGCCATGAGGCGATCTTTGAAAACAAAGCTAGACACTCTTGAACTGAACATTACTGAAAAAGTTGATGAAATAGCTTCCAGTTGAATGTTAGGGTCGTGGTGTTGAAGAGTGTTCTGAACTGTATTGACATTATACATGTGCAATCTCCTGTGCATTTCTTGATATTTGTTGTGATTTGACACTTCTAAATTCATAATAATACCAGTGTGGGCTTTATTTTCAGACATGTGTAATTTTTGTTCCTCTGTGTCTGCCTGCTCTATGCATTTACAGCTCTTAGACTGAGTCTTACTCTTATTTGATCTTTCAAGTTGGGCCTGTTGGGGTTAATTTCAATTTCGTTTTCATAGTTTAATTTTAGTAAAGATTCATACAGCAATTAAAATTCTATTCTTCTTTGTTTTGTTAAGTTTTGTCCAGAGTGTGGGAGCAGAGCCTGGAGAGGCTAATTTACCTAATACTACCCATTGGGCCATCAGTATATTGCAGTAAGCAGATGTCAACTAATGTACCCATCAGTATATTGCAGTTAGTGGTAAGCAGATGTCACCTAATGTACCCATCAGTATATTGCAGTTAGCGGTAAGCAGATGTCACCTCTGACCTCTGTAGAGGGGATTTGGTTTGCATAGATTGACGACTGAGGCTGTTGTGGGCATCACAAAGGACAAAGCCTGTTCAATTCATTGAGAATCTTGCAATGATGTTGCTCATTGATATCTTGTGACAGTTTCTGATAACTTTCGATGATTTTGGCTTTTCATTTTTCAATTTCACAGTTAGTTAGTTTGATTTGTCATATGACTTAAGGAGTTTATCTATGTATCACACAGTTATTTCTTCTCCTGCTGCCAGGTCATCAGTGTGGAAATTAGTATAGGTTGGCAGAATTTACTCCTTTAGGCAGGCTTCTTTGAAGTCCAGAGAATTTGTTTTATTGGCAATTTTATTATTAGTTTTTTCTTCTTACAAGTAAATAATTTAATTTATTAATGACATTTTGAATGTGATATTAATTTTTAAGTTATAGGAAGCATTGAATACAGAAATTTTGGTGGAAATATCTACATGATGCACGTAAATATGGTACAACACAAAAATTTAAACTATGAAAATAATTCCAAAACGATCTCAAGGTTCAGAAAATCTACAAGTTATGAGATGGATAACTGGAGTCCAAGCTGTAGAGATGAGGGCTTCATCAATCATTGGTCGGATGATGTCAGACCACTCCATGACAACGATGCTGTTCGATTCCTCCATCACAATGAGACTGATGGTCTTGTTGAATTTGACGTTGTTGTCAAGGGTGTCATGGAGCCTGTTGAATTCATTGCGGATCTCAAGATGAAGTTGCACTCGATTGTAAAACTTTGAGACCTGGTCTGGTTGCAAGCTTGTCTCAGGTGGCAGGATAAACTGCTGCTCAATATCGTTGTGCAATTTACAAAAATTGTAAATATTGTTCATTATATTGAAAAAACTAATAAGAAAGTTGTCGATAAACCAAATCTCTGGTCTTCAAGGAAACCTTCTTGAAGAAATATAAATATATATGTACCGGTATTGTTGTTGGATGCTCTTTCTATGTTCCTTCTAGGAAGCAGGATTTTCCTACTAGGGATCTGTGCAAACCCTCTTTTTCTGAGGTGCAAAGGCATGCATAGTGGAAGTTTGAAATCAACATAAGAGCATTATTTCTAGTAAAAATTGTAAGTACACTGCATAAAAATGACTTACTGGCTGAAAATTATTAATGTTTTTGTGTTTGTGTTATTATAATAGATTATAGTGCATTCCAAAGGTTTATCATACTTCTTTTCTGCTTTCAGGCATCTGGGTCATGGTTTTGAACTGGTTGCTTCTCCCTGTCTGCCTCTGCTGTACATACTTTCTTTCTGGTTGTGTTTACTTATTGATAAATTATTAAATAAATATAATCAAAAGATTCAATATAAAGGTGGATTGGGATATTTGTAGGGATGTGGAGACCATTATTAAACAATTGCTTTCCTGAACCTTCACAATTAATGCCCTCAGGCTTAGCTAGCAAGCACCTTCGACTTAGCATCCCCTAACAGTAGCAATGGTACTATAAAGCAATGTTGAAATATTTGTGTCATTCTGTATTGCCTTGTGTCATTGTTTCTAATCTATTGAGATGTAGCTTTGAGGCATTACTCTCCCCTCTGCTGTAGCACTACATGGATGACTTCCAAAAGCTTGAGGAAGCAATAACTTGGAGAATAATAATAGATATCAGATCTAAAAGCTCTATTCTGTAATTGAATATAAGCTATAACTAATATACTTCCAGTCAGGTTCTGAAATTGGGAAATGGCTGCTACTTTGATGCGATCCATATCATTTCCTGATGCTGGTTTTGGCGAGAATGACCAAGATCCAAATTCAGCACTTCAAGAGTTAGATCGAGGTGAATTCTTTTAGCCATTGAGCAATATTATTGCTTGCCAATTAAGTCACTGGATAGAAATTTTTCTTTGATGCTTATGTAGGTATATAATGCTGTATAAATTTTCCACCTATTTCAATCAGGTCACTAGAGAACTATATATTCCATTTGCATCTGTGTGCTTTTGTAAAGGGAGGTATCTTCAAAACTTTCATATCATCATGAATGTTTTTACACTTTGAGGAGTATACTGGTACATATTTTTTGTGCTTCTATCAGAGCTTAAAATTTAGGTTTTGCTCTTGAATTTTACACAAGTTTTTAAAATATATCTATATAAATGTTGAGATTTATTTTGCAGTGAATTATGAAATACAAGTTGTGAAAGCTTTCAATCACTAAAAAAATGTTATATTTGGTTAAATAGCTTGATTACCTCTAAAGAATTGAATTATTCTCTTCTGTTTAATACACAAATTATTTTTTCAACGTCAATTTGCAGGCTTGAAATCCAGCAATGTTGGTGAGCAGTGTGAGGCCATCTCCAGGTTTCCTTGCCTGTTTGAGAAATATCCCTTCCCTATTCTCATCAATTCTGCTATGCTGAAGCTGGCTGAGGTCTTCCGTCAAGAAACGGCAGGGTTAGTTACAGTTTTCTTCAGAAAATGTATCTTGTTTTACAAATTAGGAGCCATCAAGGTTGTGCTCACAGTTCTTAACTTTATTTTCCCTGGAAATACTCTGAATGTAAATTGAATTGAATGATCTGAAGAATGGAAATTGTATTAATTATAATGTTGTAATAATTTGGTCCTCATCTTCCTCATAGGAGCAATTTTGTGCGTGTCTGTGTATGTGAGGTTCTCGAGACCAGCAGTCGCCATCTCGATAAACTCATCAATGTGGATGAATTTTTGAGACGTATTACCACCGTGATGCACTCCAATGATCCAGTGAGTAGGATCTCTGGAATTGAAATTTAATTTATAAAACTTTTTACTATTGTGAAATGATGAATAACAAACTTCAAGATGATATCAATGTTCAGCAGCAACTATTGAATAATGTAGGCTAAAATAATTTGTTTCTATGATGTGCTTAGTATTAATGCTCTGACTTTTTTAGTGTGGACGTATTATTGTAATAATTTAATTTTATTATTCAATTTTGAAACAATAGATATATTTTTTCTTTGTAATGTCTTTTGTAATGTTCATAGTTTCAAGCATGCAGGTTATGAGATGTGCACATCTTGTGTGTACATATAGGTTTAAGTGTGTAGGTTACGAGATGCGTATATGTTGTTGCAGCTAGCAATATATAGGTATAAGTGTTGTTTCGAGATGCATACGTATATGTTGTTGCATGTTGCAGTTAGCACGAGCCCTGACATTGCAAGCCTTGGGGTTGCTGTGTGGGGTTGTTGGGGAGGCCAAGCAGGTTCAGCATCTTGTGAGGGATGCTCTCGACGCCTCACACTCCCTCGAACTGCAAGCTGCCATTGCTGCTGCAGAAAAATATGCTGCTGTATCTAAGTATGCTGTTGTGTTTACAATTCTTAGCTATTTGAGTTGTCCAAGTCCTGACTCCTGAGTATTCTTTTAAATTTAGAAAAGTTTAACATGCTAATTTTAAAAGATAATTTTAACCAAATTCATCCCTTCAGTTGGGCAATACATAGTTTTGTTATTAGTGTGTTTCCACTAACTTAATAAATCTATAATGTGTACCACTTGTCCCTGCTGCTAGGAACTTGTCACCTGCAGCCTAATAAATTAAGCAGCCTGAAATAAATGCAGCCTGAAGTCTGTATTTATTTTAATCATTTTTGGTCCAACAGAACGTTTGCAGTGAGCATGTGTGAGCGCCTGACTCAGATGCTGAGTGCGCTCTCAACTCCTGTTGAGGTGAAGCTCCAGCTCATCAAAGTCTTCCAGCACATGCATCATGACGCAGAAACTGCTGCTACTGTAGGTGCTATTGTGCTCATACGATTGTGCTGATACTGTATGTACTATTATGTTGCTACTTTTGTGTTGATAAGTCTTTCTATAGTATGCCGAGACAACTGAGACAGCTATTTATGTGCTGTATTGTATTAATTACTTCAACAGCTCTGATTTCATACCATTCATTAGCTGTATGCTGACCAACATCTATCACTTTTCTGTCATATAATAAAAACATGTACAGGGGTTGGACAAAATATGGAAAGCCCCAGAAAAAAACTCAAATTTGTTTTATTCTGGTGTAGGTCCACATATTGTGGAAATTACAGCCTCAATTCTCTAAGGTACGGGACTCTTGATTGGGACACATCGTGAATTGTTTTCTAGGGAATGTTAACCCATTCTTCAGTTGAACACTCTTTCAGCTAAACCCAGGTTAACCCTCTTCAACTTTTTTTACTCCTCTCTAAGCACGCACTCGGCCAAAGGTCGGAGATAAGGTAAACAATGATTTGTCAGAGAAAATCACATTTTGCCATTGCTTGAGGGACCAATTCTGTAGGTTTTTACACTACTCTGATTGCTTTGAAGTGTTTGTAGTTGAAACCGGTTTTCTAAGGGCAGCTCTTCCTTAGAATCCAGATTAGTGCAGCTCCCACCTAATAGTTTTTATGTAAACTGGGTTCTGTAGGTGGCCATTGTGGTATGCAGTAATTTAATATAATTTCTTGTTTGGACCAACGGCCTCTCTCATACATTTTTGACTTTTAGCCAGTTCTGGGCTTTGCTGTGGTTGGGTTTTCCTTCTCTTTCAAAAGTAGTCATTTCTTTTGAGACAGTACCTCTAGATACATCAAGCTTTTGGGAAGTTTCTGTCACACGAGCACCTGCCATACATGCGCCAACAATTCGGCCTCTTTGAAACTTGAAGAGGCTCCGAGCATTTTTATTTGGTTTTAGCCACAAAATTTTTCTAGAAAAATTTGTAAAAACATAAAATATTAATTAGCAGCAATAATACATTAACAATAAACATTAAATATGTTAAGTTTTTATTGTTTAAAAGGTGTTTCAAAATTATTTTTTAGAAATGTTTATCTTCTCCCTTATTTTGTCCAACCCTTCTGCATTCTGTGCTAGTTGTAGGTTATTCAATTTTATTTGATCCTAATATTCAAAGAATCCGAGTTCCAACTTAGGTGTTCTGAATTTTACTAAATAAGGCCATTTAGAACTGACATAGGACAAAACTTGTAAATAGTCATTATGCCCATGTTGAATTGAGCTTTTCAAGGTAAAATCTGTGGTTTTTTGAACCAGGTGGTTTTAGGCATTAAAGAAACAGTTTTGTGCAACTTAGTCTGGAACTGAGTGCACCTTTGTACTGTCACAATAGCTTAGTACTGAAACTAACGCAAGCTGAATATTTTTTTATAGATGATGATTTTCCTACATCTGCAAGTTTGCAGGTTTGATTTGAAGAATACACAAAAAAATATATATGTTATACACTCCCCCCCAAAGAAATTATTATTGTTGTAGGTGCGAGGAGTGTGCCTACAGCTGTTGGAGCGCTACCCCACCCAGCGCGTGGTGATCACAACGCTGCATGCCCTCACTCAGCTCGCTGCCCACTGCCTGGTGCACATCCCACTCCAGGTCACCACTTCATCACTCTCTTTGGTCATAAGCTGCTTGATGTTATATTTCATACTTATCACCTCAGCAGGTGGTGCATTTACATTGCATTTAAGTGCAAGTAAAAGGAATGCACATCCCACTTCAGGTCACCATTTCATCACTCCCTTTGGTCATAATCTGCTTGATGTTATTATTGTTACCTATATTTCAAACTCTACATTGCATTCAAGAAGTGCAAGAAGTACCAGGGTGCTCTTAACAGGCACAATTGAATGCTGTTATAAGTACGTAGAATAGAATTTGGTCAGTTCTTTTTGATGAATATTGATGATGTCACTGCAAGCTAAATATCTATTCTGATTATTATAATCTTTGACACAAATATAATATTAGGAACTGGCATGCTGAAAACTGATTTTTAGAATTTCTTTGTTTATTTAGTGAATGTTGAAAATCAGAGCTTTGGTGGCTCCTTCTACAAGTTTTGTGGTAGAAATTTGCTGCTCATGGTAACTATTTTCCTCAGCTGGTATTTCTAGTTGGAATTTGTCTATTTATTGTCATGAAATAATGTATCTTTGTGATTGATTGATGATGTGTTGGCTGAGCATGTCTAAAATTTTTAAATTTCTTGCTGAGGTGAGGTTATGTTGCAGGTACTGGTATATAGCTCCACTCTCCTAAATGTTTTGTGTTACTGCTCAGGTTGACCTGGTGTTGCTGTGGTGTCAACGTAGCTCTTATCTCTTCAATGTTTGGGTCCATGCCTCAGGTTGACCTGGTGTTGCTGTGGTGTCAACGTAGCTTTTATCTCTTCAATGTTTGGTTCCATGCGTCAGGTTGACCTGGTGTTGCTGTGGTGTCAACGTAGCTCTTATCTCTTCAATGTTTGGTTCCATGCTTCAGGTTGACCTGGTGTTGCTGTGGTGTTTGTTTTGTGTTACTGCTCAGGTTGACCTGGTGTTGCTGTAGCTGTCAACGTAGCTCTTCTCTCTTCAATGTTTCTCTCTTCAATGTTTGGTTCTATGCCTCAGGTTGACCTGGTGTTGCTGTAGCTGTCAACGTAGCTCTTCTCTCTTCAATGTCCCGTTATATGCCTCAGGTTGACCTGGTGTTGCTGTGGGTATCAAAGGAGAGCCGGGCTGGTGTGCGCAGTGCAGCACTACGGGAGCTTCGTTACCTGGCCTCAGCTGCGCCTCACGCCTGGTCCTCGGGTAACGTGGCCTCGCTGGTCGCCTTCACCCGAGCTGCTCGCACTGATGCTGCCAAAGAGCCTGACGCTGCCCTAGCAGCAGGAGTAGCAGGTCTTAACTTGAGGGGGCCTGACGAGGCTGGTGATGGCAGGGACTCAGAGCACGACCTCACCACGGCCGCTGCCCTCAACGTCCTCGTGACACTCACCTCTGCTCCAGCGCTGCCGCATCTCAATCTCAGTGCTGGTCAGACACAGAGGAGGCTATGTGAGGCTTATGGTCCCTTTACTGACTTGCATTAGTGTACTGCTACTAAAACCAAGCAGCGAGGCTTATGGTCCCTTTACTGACTTGCATTAGTGTACTGCTACTAAAACCAAGCAGTGGATAAATATTTTCCTTTAGTTATGCTTCTTGACAGTTTTATTTTTTTTTTGTCCCATTATTTTGGTGGAGATCCTATTTAACTCTTAGTACAGATGAGTGAATTCAATTATTGAACTTTATGTTTCAACTCTGAAAATGTTTCCTTCATTTACCATGGATTTATTCATTGCTTATGTGTTCCAGATTGTGAACTTGTGAAACTCAGCCGTGAATTTGTCTATGATGCCAACGTCACCATTGCCAGCATTGCCTTGCAGCTCTTCACCAACATCGCCCTGTACATGTAAGACTTGATGCCCACCTGTGCATGTAAAACTTGATGCACAGCTGTACATGTAAGACTTGATGCACAGCTGTACATGTGGGACTTGATGCCCAGCTGTGTATGTGAGCCTTGATGCACAGCTGTACATGTAAGACTTGATGGTTGATGCACAGCTGTACATGTGAGACTTGATGCCCAGCTGTACATGTGAGACTTGATGCACAGCTGTACATGTAAGACTTGATGCACCGCTGTACATGTGAGACTTGGTGCACAGCTGTACATGTGAGACTTGATGCCCAGCTGTACATGTGAGACTTGATGCCCAGCTGTACATGAGAGACTTGATGCCCAGCTGTACATGTGAGACTTGATGCCCAGCTGTACATGTGAGACTTGATGCCCAGCTGTGCATGTGAGACTTGATGCCCAGCTGTGCATGTGAGACTTGATGCCACAGCTGTGTATTTACAAACTCATGATATGGACAAGTTAAAGGGAAATTTGCTTATGTTCATAATCTTCATGAGGTTTCCAATTTGGCACTTATTCCCAAATTTTTATGGAGTTTTATCGTTTCCAATCTTTTTGGTCAGTTTGATCTATTCTAAGACCTATAAGACCGTCAGTTCCACCTACCCTACCATACATCAGTTCCACCTACCCTACTATACATCAGTTCCACCTACCCTACCATACATCAGCTCCACCTACCCTACCATACCTCAGCTCCACCTACCCTACCATACATCAGCTCCACCTACCCTACCATACATCAGCTCCACCTACCCTACCATACATCAGTTCCACCTACCCTACCATACATCAGTTCCACCTACCCTACCATACATCAGTTCCACCTACCCTACCATACATCAGTTCCACCTACCCTACCATACGTCTCTTATACACATCTAGATGTGTATAAGAGACAGGCTGTACATGTGAGACTTGATGCCCAGCTGTACATGTGAGACTTGATGCCCAGCTGTACATGTAAGACTTGATGCCCAGCTGTACATGTAAGACTTGATGCCCAGCTGTTCCTGTGAGACTTGATGCCCAGCTGTACATGTGAGACTTGATGCCCAGCTGTACATGT